GAAGACTCCTTTATGAAGCAGTGACAGGTTTATTTGCTTTTGAAAGAGCAATCTGTTTGCAATGAGCTTCTCCATAAATACTGAAGACTATTTTCTTTTTGCTATAGCCTTGGCTTATTGGTCAGCTGAAGGTAGTGAATATACCTAGGTCTCCTGCCTCCTATTTTACCTGCACCAACAGTCCTGTGTGTTAAGCTGAAAGTGACTGGCTAAAAGTCAACCAGCCAGCTTTCATGCCTAAAGTGAGACTAGAAGTCAATCTTCTGTTTTCTAGGCAAGCAATTTCATCACTAGACCAACTGGCTCTCATAAATAGTGGGTTCTTATTTAGCTCAAAAGGGATCATCCATAAAGAAGACAAGGAGGGAGACTAAATGCTGTGGATTTATAAAAAGAATCACCAAAACCAGGAAAGCCTTGAACAAACCCTAAAACAAAACACATCTCCCAAAGAGAGAGAGAAAACCTACCTTAAAATGAATCAAACATGCTCAGCAGAAAGTCCCCTATTGGTTTGCAAGGATGGAATGGAATCGAGTACCCAGGAAGGAGGCACATCTGGATCAACTGAAACTGCATTCTGTTATGTTTCCTAGTTGATGACAAATATAATGTGTTTGTTTCTAAGGCATAAAACTTTCATTTTGATCTATCAGTAACTTGGAATGAATGAGGCAGCAGTGAAATCCACTTACCTTCACTACCGGTTCGGGAATGGGAGAATGCTATGTGTGTGTGCCTCCTCTGCGCAAGCGCAAAACCTTCTGCACATGCACAGATGATTAAAAACCGGAATGTAATGACGTCCTGGCAGGTGGGTGGAGCCTCCCGCCACCAGCACTACCAGTTCGGCGAGCCGGCTAGAACAGGCTGGAATGAGGGTATAATACACGGGCATCAAACTCGATCACATCACATGATGCATCAGAATGTTTTTTGCCTTTGTGGGGTGGGCATGGCCCGTGCATGATGCATCCGGTCCGCAGGCCACCAGTTTGACACCCCTGGTATAGTAAATTGGAAATATGGAAGACTCTCCTGCTTACAGAAGGCAGTGAGTGAGCAAGAGGGAATGAGATTTGATTTAGCCAATATCAGTGACTATGCAACTAAATTCCCCCTAATGCAAATTTTGCTTTAATTAGCAATTTATTCAGTGACTTCTAAAAATCTATGCCATTATCCTCTTTAGTCCTGACTTACCATCTGTATCATGTGGAAAATATTTAACCTTGGCTTAGTTTCTTGAAAGGCATAAAGATCATTGGGAAAATTTTAATAAAGATCTTCAAGTATTGAAGGTCTTACTTGAGGAAAAGATTCTGATAGCATTGTTCTAGGAGTAGCAAAGCTTCTAGTCTCAGAGTTTCTTCCAAACTTGATGTCAAAAAAGAATTTGCAGATGTCAGTACTTCATGAAATGAAGCACGGTTCTTTTAACTATCTCCTCTACTGCCATAAATTGATGACTGGACTAGTTATACAATGAACATGTGATGCTGATTTAATAATTAGAGAGTAAAATATTGAGCTCTGTAGGATCATCAATGCCTACAGACAACAGACAGTTCAAAGCTCTTTGTACCACTAGAACTCTTGAGGGGGAGAAGAAAACCACAGTTGAGGTTGATTTTCAAGCCAGCATGTTCACAGCTGGCAATCTACATCATCATTTGGAAAAGTAACCACCGTGCTTTTTACATGCTGCACTTTATACTTTAGACTGACCTTAAAACATACCCATGGGTTTAATCTCCCAATGGTCTGATTTGATGCAAGGGTGAGGAGGAATGTCTACACTTTAATTTAAAAAACCCAGCATCCCCTGTACTTCCTTTTCAAATTTTGATTTATTGATAATACTTTCATCTTGAAAATATAGAAATAAGCAGATTGTACCATATTGGAAAAATTGAACAAGAACATAGAGGAAAATGCTGATGAATGTAGATAAAAAAAAAACAACAACTAAAAAATCAAGTGGAAATTGCAATATATGCAGTGCCTTCTGTTCATTTCTTTTCCCGTGCCTTATCAATTTGCATTTAGTCATTAATATACACTTCAACATCAGCAGGATTCTACTAATTTTTGAGCAGCATTTTACTAATGTGCAATTTTACAATCTATGTGTGGGAAACCAAAAGTAAACAATCCGAAATATCACTCTCATCTTACATATCTTACTAGGAAATCTTTTGTTCATCAGAAAGATGAGCCAAGAGGAAAGAGTTAATTCCATCTCTTGGAGTCAGAAAACAGGGCCTTTTGCCCTCCCTGGAACAATTTCTCCTCTTCCAGCACATGCTCTGACTTCTGTTTCAAGCTCTTGTTGTTTTAAACATAATGGCAGGAGTGTAATGGTGTGGGACACAACCTCCGCCCCTTATGGGTAGGCTTGTTACATTGCAATGCACATAAAAAAAGAATGGAACTTGTATTCAAATGCCACAATGGTGCTGAAATCATTCTGACACTGCCTTGATCACTCCCTCCCCATTATTGATTTCAGTCAATAAAGTTCATTAATCAAGTAAATAGACAAAGACATGCCACTGGCATAAGAAAAAAAATATGCCAGCCTACGTCCTAGGATAAATCAATCTTAATACTAATGTTAAGGAAACAATAGACACATTATTTCGTACTCTTGAGTATAAATTAGCTTCTGTCTAGTACTCTTGGGGGAATCTATTGGGATCATTTTTATTTATTTATTTATTTATTTGTCAAGTATGTATTAGATAATATATATAAGTATAAGCATGAATTGAATATATGAAATGGATATGAATAAATGGGGACAGTAGGACAGGGACGGTAGGCACGCTGGTGCTCTTATGCACGCCCCTTACAGATCTCTTAGGAATGGGGTGAGGTCAACAGTAGACAGTCTAAGGTTAAAAGTTTGGGGGGTTTGGGATGAAACCTCAGAGTCAGGTAGTGTATTCCGGGCATTGACCTCTCTATTGCTGAAGTCATATTTTCTGCAATCGAGTTGGTTCACTTTAAGTTTGTATCTATTGTGTGCTCGTGTATTGTTGTGGTTGAAGCTGAAGTAGTAATTGACAGGTAGGACATTGTAGCAGGTGATTTTTAGTAGCAGACATCTTTTTAGTAACCAGAAGGGAACTTTGAAGTAAAGCCAACTAACAATCTCAGTCACTGGATATATAGCTGAGAGGGAAGGGATATCCTAGAATAATATTCCCAGGTGGCCTAGCCAAAGTTAATGTGCCTTGTCATACCTACTAGTATTCCACCTGACAAGAGTTGCTAAAATAGCCCATTCTGATGGGAGTGGGCTCTGGGAGGCTGGAAAGAAACAATTTATTGCTGGCTGAGGAGGCCAGTGTGATGTATTCCTGGCTCACTGATGGATTGCAAATTATGTTACTCTTCTCCCCAGGATGTCCCCTTAGAGAGACAAATAGACCATTCGATCAATATTCCTCTAGGCTGAAGATGATGCTTAGTGCCTTGTATATATCTAATTTGTATCAAATTCATTCCTGGGCTTGGACATAAAATTTTGAAATATAGCATCTTGCGCGTAATGAAATGTTCAACTAATCTTGGACATAAAGCATAAATCTGACCATAGCACCACCTTGTCTTGGTGGAGTAGGTTTTCTCTCCTTGTTCTGGCTGAGGTTAGAGCATCAGAAAGGCTGGTTTCCACAGGAGGGTGTTGATCGGCTCCATTGCTGAATTTGAAAAGCTGCCAGGAAGTCAAGGAAAAGCTGTCAAGCATCAGGAGATCCAGGCATTTCAAATATGTGTAAACATTTATTGTAAACTTAAGCTCTCTACAAGAATCTGAACTACTAATGGTCAAGGAAAATTAGCAGGAGTTAAGAATAGAAAGACATTCAAGATGGGCTTAGATCTCTTGTGGGTGTAAAGAGATTCATGACTGATGACACATTTGACCCTCGGGCTCAACCTGGTCATCTTCTACACTGATTGGGAGATGCTTCTGCCCAATTTCCAAATGCAAAGTTGTAGCTATTCTTCGGGTGACGTTGTGCCTTGTTTAAAGATGTCTGGGCATTATGGTGCCTTCTTCATGTCTGCTAGGGCAGAAAAAGAATCCTGACAGAGTTCTTTCCACATGGATGGCAGAATTACTTAAGCATATTAATAAGTGTGAGAGTGAACATCCCGTTTTTTGGGATGTTCAAGGGGAATTTTGTAAAAAAGAAAGAAATCAAATTTTTTGCAATAAAAGAAACTAAAGGTCTGAAATATGCTAGGTGAAATACATTTCTTTAAAGTAATTATTCCAAGTATGAAAAAATATGCTGCTGAGGAGGCAACTCTCCCTCCCCCAGCCACCCTCTGGAACCCACACATGTATTGATCCCCGTCTAATTAAATCATTACTTTTATGTATCCTGCAGACAAAGTTCTGTAATTCATCTGCATTCACACATAGGTGTTTCAACTAGGACTGGATTGTTCCTGCAAGTTTACTTTGATTAAGTGTAAATGCAGAACTTACACATATATTTCTTACTATGGTTTATGCATAGCCCCAAAGAACTTAAAAATAAACACACATGCATAAATATTGCACTTCATGTTATCTTAATGTACTGTATGTATGATTACATTGTGTAGGCATATTAATTTAAACATCCTGTTGATATTACCACAACTTCCCCATGGGGTTATTGTTTTTCTAGTATATTTTTCTGCTTGGAGAGTCCCCTTGTTTTGCACTGTGCTTGCTTTGGCCTCACAGCCAAGCTATCAATGCATGATATGATTAGGGAGTTTTGTTTTCCAGTCATCTTGTCAAAGAACTTGATACTTATCTGGGCTGACAGGGAGTGACTGGTTCAACATGGCTGCCATGTTTAAGAGAAGACAAGAACTTGGATCTCCCTACTCTGTCTTAGTAACTTAACCTCTGGCTTCATGCTGGCTCTTTTATATGCCACTTCTCCCGTCCCACCCCCAATCTTTATATTAAATAAAGATTCCATTCAATGATGCAAGTTTAATTAAACCATTTATTTGAAGCAAAATAAAACAGACAGTTGGGATTACATAGAAATACAAATTTCAACCAAAGCACTAAACTGTTTTCATTAAAAATGTAATTTCTTGCTGCATTAATTTAGACGTTCTTGGACTGATGTTGATCAATTAGATTACATTTAGCAATTTGCAAATCAAGTTCCATAAAAATCAGTAAAACAATGCTTTAAAATGTGCAAATATTTTCTGAATGTTCTCCTACATCCATTGTAAATGGCCCCTAAATATATGCTTATTACGTAAAGCTTTCTTCATGATAAAAATACAAATTCTATTTGTTTAAAAAAGCCATTAATATGGCTACTAAACATCCTTGTTGTACAAACTGCAAAATACTATTTGATGGACAAAATTATAGATGTGTCTCTCTATAATACAGAGCCTATTCTACTCATTAGTGATCTCATATATATATCTATATTGACAGGCACAAGGGCCAATATCCAAAGAGTCATTTTCTATTTTCTCTTATTCCCAGTGGCTCTGTTTCTTCTCACCCCGCCCATCACCCCATAAAATAATGGGAGCCTTCTGGATTGGCATTTAATAAGATGGGAGGATCTGTAGCCAGAAGGGAAGTAGGAAACCAGACGCACTGTAGAAATGCATTCCATCCTCTTTGGATTCAGAGCATAGATATAGATATACATGCAAATACAAAAGAAGAACCAAATAATAAAGGAAGACTTAACACAAATCAGAGTATAAGAAAGACTCAGTAAGGCTATACAGCTATACAGCTGTCTAATTTTAAGCATGTAAAGAATTCCAGGTTATCTAGACATCTGCTTAAGTATTTTGTAAGATTGGAACAAAGCTTTAAAAGGTAAATACCATTGCATAAATGTTTTCTCTTTAGTTGTGAATACACATGTAAACCTTGCAATATAACATAAAAAACTATTCTTTTGCAAACCAAGTACCGGACCATTAGGGTGTTTTCCCCTGAAAAATAAAGTGAGCAAAATAATTTCTTACGTTTCTTTCCCATTTCTCCTGAGCACTTCTCTTTATCTTTCTTTATATATAAAAAGCATTTCCCCCCGTCTTCTTTACAGTGAACGGCTCCTTACAGGAGAGAAAAACTTTCCCAGAAAGGTAAACAATTTTTTGTACATGTTGAATACACTGTTGGTAAAAATGAACAAGGAACTTAATTTATGAATACAAAGAAATGCACAACCAAAATTTCATTTATTGCTATGCAGAGACAAAGTAGTACATTATCTCAGTAATAAGCTCCCTTGCAGAAGTTATAAACCTATCATCTTCCTTCATTAAGAACCTACCTTAAATTATTTTATCGTAATTCCTTGTGTGATATTCATTTGTAATTTTTGCATTAGGATGCAAAATGAAACTATTTATCCATTTGTCACCCGTATATTCCAAGTGGGTTGAAAGAATTATCAGGTGACAATTCTGGGCAGGTTAAATCCAAACAATCAATGGCCTCAGATCACTTTCCAAACTATGTGTGGCATTTTTGAATGCCATCACTATTGCAATGGAATCCTTGCAATTAAAGTGAGATGTTGCCATTTACATAGCAATTTAACATGCACCACAAGCAGTGCCCTTAGCATGCACACTTTTAATTAACCTTCACAGTAGGATTTTCAAATAACTATGTTGAGAAATATCATGTTGGGCCTTGATTCTAAAAATAGTGTGTAACATTGGGAATGTTTCTATGTACACATGGATGTGTTTGAGTGTGTTCAAAATAGCTAGTTATTGTATGACTTATTGAAAAAGTCAGTTCTCGTGTATAAATTTCCAAGTACCCTCTGGAATGTGAAAAATCTAATCAAAGTTTTATACATCTTTAGGGATTGTTTTTTAAATTACAAAATAATAGAAAATAATTGGCATATTAATATTTGGCATAGAGGTTAGATATCGCAATTGTAAAAATATTAATCTATTTCATTTAGTAGATGCATGTTAAATACGATGCACCTGAAAAGCATAGAGGCTGCCTTTAACAATTACTTCTAAATCAGAAATGCTGTGCACTCACAAAATTAACAAAAATTGGGGGCACTGCAGTTCATTAGAAACCTAGCTTGATTTGTGGCTCTTAATAACAATTTATTAGGAAGTTATGCTATATAAATTCAGATTGTATAGACTGGATCTATGGTTTTCAGTCTCACTGTAATTGTTTACAGGAATGTGTAAGTAGTTACATATTTTAATTATTTATTAAATTTGTTTGCTGCCCATTTCATTGCGAGGTGACTCTGGGTGGTTTACAACCTTATTTCCTATTGGCAACAGTATTTGTGTGGAATTAAGAAAGCAATTGTGGGGATTTTATTTTAAAAGTTGTTATTTTCAATCATAGTTCTATATGCTTGTTTGTTATCTGAAAGTGGTGTGCAACCAAGTTTTAAAAGACTTCTCACAGGATACGATGGGTTCCTATGTTGTACAAGTGAGTTGCCAAAAGATACAAAGAATGACTTGCAAAATATGGAAGACAAAAAACAAACAGCAGTGTCATTTCATTTTAGCTTTCTGTACATGAGTAAATTTTCATTTTACAGGAATAATACTGCAACTTATCTGGAGTTTTGAAGAAGCAAATCTCACAGAAGATAATATGTTGAAAACATTTTTGGCACATCAATAATATTTGTAATACATTTTAAATTTTTGTAAAAAGAAATAAAGAAAGATAATATATTTTTAAATGTCTATTCCTGACAATCAGCACTTGCTGTCTAGAGGATCAAGGCAAAACACTGTGCCTTCCAGAGTCAGTCCCATTTTGAACCCCTCCTGGAACAAAGGAAGAACAAAGAATAAAGTAAGACACCATATCTCAGTTTAAAAAAATATATAATCTCATGTAATATCAGACCTAAAACATTTGCAATGTTTTGATTTACATATATGTTTCTCTTGGTTATTAAGTAGTTGATTACCTATGTCCCATACTTTGCACAATGCATTTGGAGAGAAAGGAGATCCCTCCAGATACATTTGGACTTCATGATGGTTATGCTTGCTTTCAAGCCAGATTAGATTGTTCCAAAGCTTTTAAGAAATTGGAATCTATTGTTATAATAGACTACTTGACCATTATATTGCATCAAGATATGTAGATCTTCAACTATAAGGCAGAATTTTTACTGTATATGATTTGCTATAGTAGTCAACAGTCTTCTTTATTTTGCTCTTTATTGCTAATCATATTCTAATGCACCATTCCTATGGTTGGGGATGGGTTGGATAACAACTCTGCAAATGCCTACACAATTAGCAATGTGGTTAATTATTAATATATTGGGGAATGGTGAACCACATAACTTGCTATGTATTTTTCCATTCCTATTCATCTAGGCTAAGAGGCAGAAGCACATGGGAAATGCTGTCATATCACATGCTGTGTGTAATGGATGCTATTTACAATAGAAGGAAAAGTCTTTTTGTATTAACTAATCCTAAATCATCTATCTATCCATGGAATTCTGGAAAAGTCTATATTGAAAAATTTAATATATTTATTTATAGACATCTATTGACATATGAGACAAAAATGGCACAAATCCCAAATAATACATGTATGCATATGACACACATAGTGCAAATCTTCTGCCAGTTCCTTTCTTACCTCTTTTCTAATTCCCTGTATTCAGGTGAGATCATGGATGGCTATGTCCCGGTATGTATGTATGTATGTATGTAATTTATTATTTATTTATTTATTTATTTATTTATTTATTTATTTATTTATTTATTTATTTTTCATATTTCTATGCCGCCACTCTCCGAGGACTCTGGGCGGCTTATAACAAAGACAGTATACTAAATAGCATATTGCCCCCTAACAATCTGGGTCCTCATTTTACCCACCTCGGAAGGATGGAAGGTTGAGTCAGCCTTAAGCCGGTGAGATTTGATCTGCTGATCTGCTGAACTAGCAGTCAGCTGAAGTAGCTGCAGTACAGCACTCTAACCACTGTGTCACCTCGGCTCCTATTTCTATTTCAACTATTAGTTGAGCTATGTATTCTTTGAAAATGCTTGTAAAATAAGTTCTTGCAGGAGCAAAACACCTCTCTCAGTTAACCTGATCCTCATTTTTCAGACCTCCTTATGAACTTGAAGAAAAAAGCACTTCTATTTTAACATGGGTTCTGGGCAGTGTACAAAACCAGAAAAGGCAAATACCATAAAAACAGAAAAATGCATTCAACCAAATGGAAGCCCATACTGAAATAATCTTAAAAAGAACAAAAATCAAGCAGCCTTAGACCAGGGCTGTCAAACTCCCGGCCTGTGGGCTGGATGCGTCATGTGCTAGCCACGCTCATGCCTGGTTTAGTGAAGGAGAAAAAAGTTCCAATAGGTCACGTGACACCGCCATGATGACGTGAGTTTGACACCCCTGCCTTAGACAAACAATAATCCATTAACTCCAGGCTTGGGTTTAAAGCCAAATTTTCATAGCTTTCTGGAATTCTAGGAGAGAATATGCTGGCCCATTTCCACCATCCCATCAGGTGACAAAGTTTGATTGAGGGGACCAGGAATGCACCCACCATGTTGGAATGTACTGGGTGGGCAGAACCAACTGAATAGAAGCAACCTCTCAGATACCTCTGCTTAATGCTCTAATATGGCAATGTGTCCTGCACTAGAATTAGCCAAGGAGTTTTTTGCAAAGTGATTTTCAAGAGACAAAATCATTCAATAAAGATGCTTCAGGAACAATTCATTTATGTCAATATTTTTTTAAATATACACGAAGAAAAGGTATCATGGAGAGATCTTATTTTGAAAGAATTGTCCTATTCTTTTACAACTGAAATACTACCCAGAGCTAAAGAGCACAGAAATATTATTTACACAATGAAAGGGAAAGAATAAAGAATATACCTTTTGACTTCATCCTAAAAATATATTTGGATATCAGCTTATATAGTATATTTCCCAGGAAAGAACAGGAAAAGATACTATATACCTTCTAAAAATGATATTATATTGGTAAGTAAAAAGTACATTATACCTGAGATGTACACATGCACAGTGATCCTTTACACAAGCAAATTTCATATTAGTTTTCAAATCAGGTCTCAAGGGGCTATTTATTCAGTCAAGGAAAAAGTTAATATTAGAAAAAGGAAATGAGCGAGATATTTCCCAGTTTTACTCTCAGTGATTTAACCCAAAGTTTTAACAACATAAATTTGTTACATATATATATAAGAGAAATATTTAACCGGATTCAGGTAAGAACTTCAGTACCAACTCACATATTACAAATGCCATCATTATAACAAAATGTATAATATGATGTAACTTAGTAGAAATGAATTGAAATGTATGGAGAAAATAATATACCAACCATCGCTGACGCTGCATATCCATGAAAGCACAAAGAAGAAATATTAGAATTATTGCTAAAAATATCAATATAATGTATAGATATATAAAATACATTTAACAGGTAATTAAATTTAGCACTGGAAAATATATAAGGAATATTTTATTGTGCTTTTATTGTATTCCTTCTATCATAAAAGCATTATAAAATATATGCAGGTAATATAAAAATGTATAGAATTATTACATATATTTAATGGATAATTAAATTTAGCACTAAAATATGTAAGGAACATTTTATTGTGTTTTTATTATATTCCCTCTTTTATAAAAAGACTATAAAATGTATGTAGGTATAACATATAAGCGAGGGGGGGATGTTGGGTAAGGTTTTTTCTGGCTTAAATTTACATATTTCCCCCAGCATTCACACCTGATATTTACATAATTGTAAATATTTGGAATTACCTGCATCTCATCTAGCTTAGATTGGATGTCTGGAGGGAAATCTCCTGCTCCGCAGCTGAATGGATCAAAAGGTTCTGCTCCAAAAAGGTCTCGCTCTAGAAAGAATAAAACATAGTCAACTGAAAATGATGGGAGGATTACTTCTGATCCTTAAGAACTTAAATATCTTAAGTTAAACAGAATAACAGAGTTGGGAGGGACCTTGGAGGTCTTCTAGTCCAACCCCCTGCTTAGGCAGGAAACCCTACACCACTTCAGACAAATGGTTATCCAGTATCTTCTTAAAAATTTCCAGTGTTGGAGCATTCACAATTTCTGCAGGCAAGTTGTTCCACTGATTAATTGTTCTAACTGTCAGGAAATTTCTCCTTAGTTCTGGGTTGCTTCTGTCCTTGATTAGTTTCCATCCGTCACTTCTTGTCCTGCCCTCAGGTGCTTTGGAGAAGAGCTAGATGCCCTCTTCTTTGTGGCAACCCCTTAGATATTGGAACCCTGCTATCATGTCTCCCCTAGTCCTTCTTTTCATTAAACTAGATATACCCAGTTCCTGCAACTGTTCTTCATATGTTTTAGCCACCCCTAATCACCTTTGTTGCTCTGCACTCTTTCTAGAGTCTCCACATCTTTTTTACATTGTGGCGACCAAAACTGGATACAGTATTCCAAGTGTGGCCTTACCAAGGCATTATAAAGTGCTATTAACATTTCACGTGATCTTGATTCTATCCCTGTTTATACAGCCTAGAACTGTGGTGGCTTTTTTGGCAGCTGCTGCACACTGCTGGCTTGGAGATGGCCTCCAAGATTCCTCTCACAGTTACTACTATTGAACAAGGTACCACATATACTGTACCTGTGCATTTTGTTTTTCTTGCCTAAATGTAGAACCTTACTTTTTCACCATTGAATTTCATTTTGTTAGATAGCACTCAATGTTCAAGTCTGTCAAGATCCTTCTGTATCTTAAGCCTTTCTTCCGGAATGTTCGCTATTCCTGCTAGGTTGGTGTCATCATATATATATATATGAATATATTATATATATATATATATATATATATATATATATATATATATATATATATATATATATATATATATATATATATATATATATGTGTGTGTGTGTGTGTGTGTGTGTGTGTGTGTGTGTGTGTGTGTGTGTATATGTGTATGTGTGTATATATATATATATATATATATATATATATATATATATATATATATATATATATATATATGAATATATATAGTTATATATATATATAGAGAGAGTTATATATACTAAATATATATAGTTTCATTTTCTTGTTTTTCCCTGAAATGCATATCCAGGACGCAACATTAGTAAGATGTTCTAGCAACTAAGTCTCCATTGGCTAGCTTGTTGGTTTAGGCCCGTGATGGAGAACCTATGGCACGCGTGCCACAGGTGGCACGTGGAGCCATATCTGTGGGCATGTGAGCGTTGCCCTAGCTCAGCTCCAGTGCGCATGCGTGCACCAGCCAGCTGATTTTTGGGCCTTCTGGGCCCACCGGAAATCAGGAAACGGACTGTTTCCGGTCTCTGGAGGACCTCCAGGGGGGTGGGGGAGGCCGTTTTCACCCTCCCCAAGCTCCAAGAAAGCCTCTGGAGCCTGGGGAGGGTGAAAAACAGTCCTACCGGGCCCACTGTGCCATTGCGTGCCAAAAGCGGGGGTTGCATGGGGAGGGGGGTCACGCGTGCATGCACGGCAGGTGGGGTGCATTGAATTATGGATGTGGGCACACGTGCACGTGACCCCTCTGCGCTCCCCCTGCTTTTGGCACGCGACTGCAAAAAGGTTAGCCATCACTGGTTTAGGCAATGACTACATAGTAGGCATAATTTCTTTAGGTTACATCAAAGCATTCCAGAACTTACTGATCTCTGAAGATCTACTGGGCACTGGTGGAGGCTGGGTGCCATTGCGAGTAGGTGTTGATGGCTTTGGGGAGATGGGAGAAAATGGAACCATATCAAATATGTCGGTGGAAGGAGATTTTGGTGTAACACTGCCTGCCTACAGTAAAGAAAATAAATTGGGGTAATAGTTCATGATACTAAACAAACAGGGTTGAATTTGCATGCAGAAAGGAAAAAGGCAACATTATCCAAAAAAGGCACATTGGAAACAAAAGTCTGAGGCTGGATAAATAGCATTTGTAGCCCAAGGTTTATGAAACATGCACAAACAGCAATTAAAGTATTTCACATTTTGAACTTGTCATGGGTTTCCTGAATGAAATGAGTTTTAAAAATAAAAAAAGTTGCAAAAGAGAATATAAACATGTTTTGAATTAAGACAGAGATGCTCTTTATTGGGGCAAGAGTTTATCTTCTTTTATTAATTCCATATTCTGTAATAGTACCATTAATATTTTGCCAATCTGATAGGATAATTCTAAATGCTGGAAAAATATTATTATGTTGAAATAATAATACTTGAAAATCATTGGCATTGATGAAATCAGTCATTTACAAAAGGAAGCTTTACTTGGAACAGCAACAATATGTTTAACAGCATCATGGGAAGTTCTTGGGAAGGACTCAATAAATGGATAAAAATGTCAAATTCAGCCTAAACATCAAGCTGCCTGGGCAATCAATCATATTAAAAATGATATGTCACCTGACTCCCACCGATTCTGAATGGTCCCTATAATCTGGAGACTTACATATTAATATCAATGAAAATATGAATTCATTTATTTATGCTTAATATTCCAAGATCACATTACTACATAAAACCTAAGAGTATATTTAGGTTCAGCTAAATTACATTTTTTTGCAATCTCTCTCTCTCTCTCTCTGATTATGATAAATTATTACATTTGGTGTTTATTTTCTCCCTTACTCTCAAACAACATCTTGAATAATGATGAACCCAAAGCAAGAAAGAAATGTGTAGCAGAAAATCAAAGCCCACAGAGATCTAAAATACAAAATAAGAAATCACCTAAATTGTTTTTCAAAATACTTTGCAAAACATTCAGTTATAAATTCCATAATAGGATAAGACTTACAGGATCAATAATATCTGTATAATAATGGAATACATAAGATGCATACAACTTCCCAGTTACCATGTGGGGATGAAGATATACTATATTTTGATTAGATGTTAAGTGTCTTCAGGGTTTTCCTTTGTGGGTCCCACATATTGCTATAGAGAGTTCTAGATTTTATCCAATGGTGCTTTGCTGTGTGTATAAGGAATCTTTTCATTTCTGGGAACTTTATGATTATAGTGAAGGGTGCTTCTGGTGAAAGACATTGGATTGATGGATTTTGATTAATTCTCCTTCTGTCCTCTGACGTCTTTGTGACCATTCATGTTATTCAGATAATCAACAATTCTTTGCAAGGGAGGAGCAGGAGAAAAAAAAATAACTTTTCCCTTACTTGATGGGGAGAATCTTTTTATTTTATTTATTCATTAAATAAAATGTATAACAACCCAATAAAACAACAAACAAACTTTTATTTAGCATTTATAAAGCAGTTTATAATCCAGTACTTTATGCCATGTACTTTAAACAGGATGGTTACATCCACCAATGTATCAAAACTCTTCACTGAAATGATTAAGGGACTGCCTTCCATTTGCACCTGAGTCTTGGGGAAAGATTCAGATTCATTAGGCAGCATATTAATTAATGTTTACAAGGTAAATTGTAAAAAAAAATTAAAAAAATGCTTCAACTTTTTTAGTAGTTTCTAAACTCTTTAGAGAAACTGAATAACTCTTGATAGGCAATCTGACAAAGCTAGCATGGAAAACTGATTTTCTTTCCAGATAATGGATAAGCATTGTTTACTAGTTCCACACAAAACAAGCCATTATACAGTAGAATACGCACAACTCTATTTTGTACCTCAGTTCTTGCACACATGCACAAACCATCATAATCATAAATTTCCTACATTTTTCTCAATGGTAATGTTAGACTGATGAAAGCTATGTGTGTGATCTAATCTGTTACTTTTCCATGTCTTTTCCCTTCCTCCAGAAAAGCAAGTTTCTGAAAAATGGCCCAGCCTCATCCAAATTAATCTTCATATCCCATGGGGCTGACAACATTTTAAATCAGCTTCTTCTAATCCACTTATATTCTTAGATATACATCCAATATATGAAATTTCAGTCATTTCCTTTGAGCCTTAGCATTATATTATCATGAACATCAGCAGTAAATAGTAGAAATTAGATTTATTTGCAGTTTTATGTTACTTTAAAAGGGCGATCTAAACTGTATTTAAAAAGGCAGAACAAATCTGATTATAAACAGATGCTTTATTTTACTATTAGATAATGCACAGGAAATTAAGGAGAATTAAAATCCACTAATATACAGGGAGTTCCCAGTTTAAGAATAGGTTTCATTCCCAAGGTCTGCCCTTAGGTCAATTTTGCATTTAAACTGAAATAGTATTATTGTAAAATACTGCAGAAGTAGTATGATGTAATGAACTTGAATCATTGTGTAACTTCAATCATTACTTATTCAACTTGAATTTTCTTGTCCTCACATCTTTCTCTCCTGCTCATTCTGCTCCAATTACTTCTGACTGGATCAACGTTTCATCCTTTGCTATGATCTTGGTAAGTTTCTTTCTCTTTGGTTATTCATTCAATATTTGCCAAGGATAGCCAACTGCTAATTGCAAATGAAATTTACATGAATGAAACCCCGATTTCTCTCAGCCCATTTCTGAAATTATTTAAGCATGTTGCAGCTCATCAGTGGAACAGATGGCCTTCTTCTTCATTTAGAGATAAAATGAATTTCACTAATGACTTTCCAGAAAAATATATGTTTATCAAATTGAGTTCACTAGGGATTTAGATCAGGTGCCTACTTTTAGGTTGGGTTTATATGGACAGAGCTCATACTATGTTTCATTTTGTGAAAAATACTTCTTTTTACATAAACATGTCATTTTCATTCCACATTAAAGGCCTTAGCATAAACTTTAAGAAGTAACTAGCTTTAAATTTTGTGAGCTATATTTTTATATCTGTGTAGTAAGGGCGGAAGTGTAATAACTACATTTTCTCCCGCAACATAATCTGCCTACCCAAACACAGTAATATACAGTAGCAAAACCTTAATCAATAAACATTTTAAGAACAAGTTCACATTTTATAGCATTATTTTAGGCCAACCATGTAGGATGATTTGAATGTTCATATTTTCTTAAGTATATGTAAAGTATCCGGTCTGTTTTCAACTACTGTGCAAAAAGCAGCATTTTGATACAATTTAAATCAAAAGCAAAAACACCAGAACAGTTCAAATATGAATAAATAAATACACAAATATTATGGAAAGTCTGAGAGCTGATTATTCAATCAAGCCAGTGATTCTAACTACAGAATTCACAAGCTAAGCTAAGGTTTTTGATGCAGGAATATACTGATATGTTACAGCTCAGGATATGGGAAACAAAGGCTTCAGCAATGAGTGGGACCCACAGATTAAACATAGGATGAGCTAATTGTCAATGCACCCCAAGGTCTTGGCCTGCATTAATCCAGTTTGAATTAGCTGGAAGGTTTGAGGAATTGTAGCAGATATGGGCTGGAAGAGAAGATTGCCAGTATTCTCTTCCTTTCCTTCTCACATATCCACCCACACATCAGAAGTTGAATTTTTGCAGCTGGGGATCCAAAGAGATTTGCAACATGCAATAGATCTCAAAGGCTGGATCGACCAGAATTAAAATTCCACACTTAATCATTCCTGTTTAGGCTAAGGCTCAAAATAACACTAGAATACTGCTGTAGCCCTTGGTTTGGCTTTCACGTCACAATAAATTTCACTTAATTCTCTATTGTACACAAATATCCAACCTGAAGAGACTATTGATAACCAGCTTTTATGTCTAGGAAAAATGCTTGGTGTGCAGCAACAGATTAACAGAGTTGGAAGGGACTTTGTATGTCTTCTAGTCCAACCCCCTGCCCAAGCAGGAGACCCTACACCATTTCTGACAAATGGCAGTCCAGTCTCTTCTTGAAAGCTTCCAGTGATGAAGCTCCCACAACTTCTGAAGCTGTTGCAGTGTTTGTACTCACTGTCAGAAAATTTCTCCTTATTTCCATATTGAATCTCTCCTTGATCAGTTTCCATCCATTATTCCTTGTCTGGCCTGTGGGTGCTTTGGAAAATATCTTGACCCCCCCTCCTCTCTGTGGCAGCCCCTCAAATATTGGAACACTGCTATCTTGTCTCCCCTGGTCCTTCTCTTTACTAGACTAGCCATGCTGAGTACTTGTAACCATTCATTGTATGTTTTAGCCTCCAGTCCCCTAATCATTTTGGTTGCTCTTCTCTGCACTTTTTCTAGAGTCTCAATGTCTTTTTTAAAATGTGGTGACCAAAACTGGATGCAGTATTCTAGGTGTAGCATGAAGCACATGATGACCAAACCTGTTGTTAAACCAGAAGGATCCCATCACTGCCATAATTACATTAATATAAACTTCCCAGGAGTTTAACAGCTTAACAACCTTAACCCCCCCCCATTCATTATCTCTCAAGAGATTTATTCAATTTATTGCTTCCATTTTACATAAACTTTGGGTGGCTTATATTAACTAAATAAACTATCCCGATATCTTTGTAATGGTACAGAGCCTAGTCTTTCATGAGTTCTGCACAATGAATCTTATTCCTGGAGCCCAGATTTCAGAAAAGAGTTCCTACTAATGTTAAATACACAATTAGTCTGCCTAAAGAAATGTATTGAAAACTCCTCCACAATCAGTTCTCCTTGCATTTTTTTT